CTATTCCCGGGATAAAAAGTACCCTATGTGTTCTTCCAGACTATGCTCTAAATCTGTGCCAAATTTCATGGAGATCCGTACAGCCGTTTAGGCTACAAACTGTAACAAACATCCATTCATCTAAACTTTCGCATTTATAATATTAGTAAGATGTACATAATACTAGAAATATTGTAATAAACCCTCTGGTGTTGAACAGCTTAGTTAAGTTCTGCATTATGATTTATCGATAATGTTCGTCTTAAGTCAATACGAAAAACTTGTTCGTTCAAAAAATCAATAAAAGTTTACTTTGACAATAAATTACTGAATTTTAACCACAAACATTATACAGGGCTATTTTAAATTATTAGAAAAATTGCTTTGCCTGTTACCGATATTGACCGTATTTATAGACTTAAAAATAAAATCGATGTAAAGAAAAAAATCATAAAAAACATCTTTGAACGATTGCAATAGATGCATCAGTGTTTGTGAGCGCTCCAAAGTAAACAAAAAAGAAATCATTTAACAAGTTTGTGTTCTCTTGATTTCCGACTGAAGCCAAGAACTAAAATTTTCGTTCGCCTGGTATTTATGAATTGAATAAGTTAAAAGCAAACTGTTTATCCATATTATGGATTTAAATATTTGTCTTTATTTGAGAAAAAAATGTTAAAACGGCCCGATTCTCGAGATTCTAATTTTCGCGTTTTCATATCTTATCCAACAATAAAAATTCTAAATATCTTTCTATATATAATATATTTATTTTTCTTTTATAAATTCATAATAATACCGAAACGCCGTAAGCGTAGGTTTTGAATTATTATTGTATAAAAATATTTTTCCTGCTATTTTCGATGCCCACGATACAGGCATTGCCTAGTGTGGGCATCACTAGATCAATCACATTTTATCCACTATTTGTATTTATCTTTTAATTGGTTATAACTTTTATTGTTAATTATTAATCTGTTATTTTTCAATTTTCAATAGTTAATATCAGTAGATATATGACAATGAAAATAAAAATTACCTAAATAAGTTAATTTAATTCAGAGTAAACAAATGTTTTTTAATATGAAACTGATTATTTCAACATTGAATCGATATTATAAATGAACCATATTTTCCATTAGCATTTTGTTGATAACAATTTTTAAAAACATCCTTATGCACATGTTGCGCCATCTTTCGTCGAAAGGATTAACTAATTTCAAAGTAATTTATTCTATTCATCAACAGATGGCGTCAGTTTGTAATTTTCGACCATCAGACACCAGATGGCGCTAGTTGGCGTAAAACGTTTGAGTCTTTTCATCAACAGATGGCGTTACTGTGTGAGTTTTTCAACTATCAAACACTAGATGGCGCTAGTTAGAGTAAAACGCTTGAATCTATTCATCAACAGATGGCGTCAGTTTGTGATATTTTTCTACTTTCAGACACTAGGTGGCGCTAGTTGGAGCTTAATGTTTTATTCTATTCAACAACAGATGGCGGCGCTGGCTAGAATAAAAATGTTTGAATCTATTCATCAACAGATGGCGTCAGTTTGTGGTTTTTTTTCCGACTTTCAGACACTAGGTGGCGCTAGTTGGAGCTTAATGTTTTATTCTATTCATCAACAGATGGCGGTGCTGGCTAGAATAAATGTTTGAATCAATTCATCAACAGATGGCGTCAGTTTGTGGTTTTTTCCGACTTTCAGACACTAGGTGGCGCTAGTTAGAGTTAATGTTTGAATCTATTCATCAACTGATGGCGGCGCCAGCTTGAGTAAAATGTTTGAATCTATTTATCAACAGATGGCGTTAGATTGTGATTTTTCGACTGTCGGACACTAGTGGCGCTAGTTAGAGTAAAATGTTTGAAGTGAAGTGTGAAATTTGCATTTCTTTTTTATATAATTCTTTTTTCCTCTGAATTAAAATACTTTCAAGTACTTATTTCCGGTTTTGTTGACCCAATTACGTTACTTGTTATTGGTAATAACTTTTCAACTGTTCTGTTGTGGCTATTGTTGAGTCTTATTTGTTCATTATTGTTAAGTTTTATTTGATTGTTATTGTTTTGACTTTTTGACGTGAGTATACCACGAAAAAGTAACATTGTTCTAAAAAGACAAGCCAGGAAAATGGTATACGATGTACATTGTTTTATGAAACAAGAATAATATAAAGAAAATGTAGTATTACAAAGAACAAAACAGTTTATGTATGTCTGTGGTTTTTTAAACATTGAAATAATATTTATTAATACTTAACAAATACTTAAAATATGTCAATTATTTTGTCTAAAAGTGTTCGTGCTCGAACCTTCCCCCACTACGCCGCTCTTTGTTCAAGAAGTTCCCGGGCGTTATAACTTTAACGGGGAAAGAATTTTTGAAATCGTTCTAGTACTTTTTGAGTTATTTCATACAAAATACAGACCTTTCCTTTTTATATTGGTATAGATAAAATAAAACGCTTTTGTGTATTAAAGCAAGTATATTAAAATTCAATACAACCTACATATGATACATGTCGGACAACTTGAACCAATGTTTTTAGATTAATTTCACACTAAAACATGATATTAACAATTACGCAAGAAAATACATTGTCATTTTAAAATATACATTTATGTTTTCTACATGAAGTATATAAAAAGATAATATATAAGATGTTAGGAATTTGTCCAACATTTGTATAAATTTTAATGCAAGTTTGAATAATCGGTTTTAAAAAATACACATCAAATGGAATAAAAACTATTTAAAACTTAACTTATACAAATATAACGTCTATAAGTTTACAATATCCCGTTGTAATGAACAGAAACATGTATCGCAACATGTTCTCTAGCTCTTGGTTTCGTCTTTCTTCTCCTGGTCCGGTCTTCTGCCCAATAAATCTCGTTTTACACAATTCTTCTCACACTGGGAAATACAATTATTAAATTATAACTTAATCTACAGTAAGTACAATTTCATAAAAACAAACAAAAATCATTAATTAATAAAAAAATTAAGACAATTTGTACTTTTGTAAAATAATTTTAACCCTTAATTCGATGAAGATTTTTCTAATAAAAAACTGTTACCTTGTAAATTCAAATTGGACATGAAATAAACCAGTTCATTAGATTTTTTATTACTCGTTCATCACATTGGACAAAATCGAATTAAGTTAATTTTTTATTTCATTCTTTGTTATCGGTTTTTTCTTATTTTCCATACTTAACAAGCCTTTATCAAACTTATCAAAAATAAATATGCAAGATACGTAAAATAAACTGAGAGTCTATGAATGTAGTGCGAGTATAAGTATTCCTGCCGCCCTGGGCGAGATTTCTAACGCCCCTAAATAGTGTTAAAGGGGCGTGTGCGGTACGAAGCGATACAAGGTAATAGGAAGTGAAAAAAGTAGAATTAATAAT